GTCCAGAACGGGACAGTATTTTGTTCTGTTGTGCATAGGGTATCTATGAGTCTGTACCAACTCGATGGCACCTAACAACAATAACAACATACATGAAATAGTATGTGATACAAGTGTTCAACTGACTTTTCTGTTATTCTTAGAAGCCCTTTTTATTGAGTTTTAATGAAACGTGAAATATTCTAGAATTTACTTTCTAATAAGAAAGTCTCTCCTACCATAATTATTCTGAATTAAGGAGTTTAAGTAGAGACCTGAAGTACTGACCCACAGCATAATTTTCTAGGCTACAGTAGGCAGTCATTTCCACCTTTACAAAATACCACATGAAATAAAATAGTCCATTCCTGTCCATTTTTATCCTGCAACATGATAGTATTGTGATTTTGAGCTAACTGACATACATACCAAGTTTTCACAATACCCAAAAACATAAAAAATAATTACCCTGGTCTTATTTTTGGCTAAATAATCACCCAAGAGAATCAAGTGATTGCTAGAGATCAGCCATTATTGCAACAATATTGTTGTTAAATGCCATGGAACAACAAGTGGGTTTGAACCGCCAACCTTGCTGTTAGCAGTCCAGTGCTTATCCTCCAGTGCCACACCAGGACTCTTTGAGACCTACCTAGTTTCTCTGAAATCCTCTTTTCCTCAACTTATAAATAACACGTTCTACTGTTTGTCAGATGCACTTTCTAGATACTCCACCCAACTGAGCATTCTCATCTAAAGACATTTCCTGTTTGCAAGATCCTGAAATGCATTAGACCTCAGCATTAGACATAAGACTATTCTAATGAATGTGATTAGAAAGTATGTTAACCAAATAAAGTCAATGCAAGGCAATATATTTCAAAGAATCAAATGTGATCAATTACTTTACAAGTTAGTTTCTGAACTCTATACAGATAAACCTACAGGGTGGACCCAACTTGATGGCACATAACAACAACAATACAGATATAGAGAGTCCTGCTGTGGTACTGTGGGCTAATGTACTAGACTGCAAGATCAGTTTGAATTGCTAGATTGGTGATTCAAGATCATCAACTGCTCTTAAGAAACCTTATACAGGGTTGATTATGAGTCGGAAGAACAACAATATATAAAGAATGGAATACTGGTAGG